CCTGATACCATCCTGGGCTGGGGAACCACTAAGAAATAAAAGCCTGGTCAAGAGCATACCCCTGTGGTGTTGAGTCATTTCTCGAGTGGTACACACCCTCGTCACACCAAGGTGGAGTTCACACCCCCTCCTTGACAGGAGCCGACCCGCCCCTGCCCCATGACACTATCGAAATTGATACATTCCTTTTTTGTTTCTAAAAGAATGTATTCATTAATACTACCACCATAACGGTTACTAAAATCAGAGAATGATCGGTTCGTTGCAATCTGATCCGCTGACTTTAACGTTTGTTTCCGAATAGTTTAATACAAACACTGGTAGCCAGTCTACGGTATACGAGCAGGAACAAAAGAGTGCGTGTTTTGAAATGAAATTGACAGTCATTAATTCGGGGGCCTGTTCTTGACACGGGTTTCTTGTTCTCGCTCTAGACCGGCGGGAACACGACTCAGGAACACTTTTCTCGGAACAGGAGGGCACACTACCTCCTTGTCAGGGTTTTACTAGGAACACACGGAAAAAATTGTGAAATTTTGATTTAAATAAAAAAGAATTCAGCCCATCCAAACATTAATTCTCGAATAACGTACATGGTCGCCGTCATGTTGCATGCAACTACCAGCAATAACCGGTTGTTTGTTCCCAGAGCGGCAGACCCACGAACACCAAACAGAGCCGCTCGTGAACATACGAGAACCAGCAAAGCGAACAGGCAAAGCGAATATGCGCAACGAATTAAGTCTGGAATAAATGTGGTCCTCGCGTGTACGCCAAATGCGTGCAAGGACCCGGATGGAAAATTTCGTTCATCTTTCTTGCTTTCGCCGGTGAGGGTGCGATTGATTGAAGTTCAAAGGGTGCACCCTTGCAAAAAACCCAAAATTTGTCCGCCGCACTAATTCATTAAAGTTATTCGCTCAAAATATTCTACAGTAGAGAGTCCTGAGAGCCATGAAATCGAGGAATTGGAGAAACATGGCACTGAACCTCCGGCCCAGACGTTGGGCTTGCAATTATGAGCAATTTGGGTGCAGTCGGGTCCGAAAGTGGCACTATTTGGCCGTTTTTCAGAGGGATGGTTTTTCAAAATGGCCACTTTTCTGGGCAGGGACATTTTCTTCATTTTACCTTGCGCAGATCGGAATGACTACTCTGGGGATCCAATTTTTTGTAATTACGTAATTAAAAAAAAACATTTTCGGCCAAATGCGAAAACCTCCTTTAATTTGTATCTCTGTAGATGCTGAAAAGCCTAGTTTAGTCACCTTTAACATGGGGACTTCCCTTGAGCTGCTTAATTCTTTTCCAGAGCCCGCCTCCAGCCACGTCCCATGGGGATTGTATGTAAATATCTAAACCACGTGCTGATAAGGGATATTGACAAAGAAAGTGCCTGGGCAAGCCTTGGAAAGCCTGGGCCTGTCTCACATCAATGGTCGGTCTTTCTTATGTGTCTCTGAGCTGTAGACAGCTGTCTGAGTAGTTTCATTGTGTTAGAGGTGTCAAATTTTTGTGGTTATAACGGAAGTGATCTCAAAACGATCACCTTGTTGCAATGGGTGTAAAAAATAGGCTCTGTGCAGTGAATTCAATTGATACACGTATGACGGCGTCCGAGCATTAACATGAAAAAATCGGCCCTGTGCAGCGGAGGGGGGGGGTGGTCCGCTTCTGGAGAAAATTTCTCAAAAATTCATTGGTCAACCCCCCGAAATTTGAAAAGAAAATGAAAGAGACGTGTCGATCATCGTTTTTTGTGCAGCCTGGACACCTGTGAGAGTTGTGAGTATTTTTTAAAAATTTGTGAAGTATGGGAATTTATCATTGCTGTCTGTGGGAATTTATTTGTAGTGGTGCAGCCTTGAACTCTCGCAGGTTGCACTACACCATAATACGCGCCCGTAGAAAGCAGTAAGAAATCAGAGTGAAAAAGCGCCGCCTGTTGACTCTCAGAGTAGGTTTGTCTCCTTTTTTCACCGGAAATTCAAGATTATGGCCAGAAGATCACTTTTCCTTTGAATTTTATGGGTTTTAGCCGCGATTTATTTTTATTCGCCTTTCCCCGAAGATACCTCCAAAGTAGTAAAACTATTGGCCCAGCTCTGATTGTCGCCGCCCGCCTCTATCCAAATATGCCCGCAATTTAGGGCTTTTGCGAAAGAAATAACCCGAACTGGAAACTACTAGTCCCAAATTCGGGATTTATAGAAATGTTTCTGTGATCCCTCCTGATTATGGCATGTCTTATTGTAAGAACCCGTGGGATCACAAAATAGTCATGAGCTCGCGCGCATAAATACAACCTTTTCGCGAAATGCACCGTGATGGCCATGCAGGCCATTTTTTTCCGGGGGAAAATGAATCGGGAACCGAACAGTTCTACTAAATAACCAGTTGTATTTTGTGGTGAACCTGATACGTGTTTTATTCCTTCACATACCTTGCAATGTGAAGCGAGGCTCTTTACAGCAACTTCCTTATGTACTTGAAAAGTGAGCACTGTTCCTGTCATTTTTATAACGTATTTTTAATATGTTGACTTTAGTTGTCGTATATTCAGTTGTCAAATGTTGATCTAAAAATATAGATCAAAATATCCCTTTCTCTTACCCAATCCGCAACAACCACACTATCCTCACCCTAATGTCAACAATGTCCTTCACCCTACTGTCCCTAACCCTATCTCCGACACTATTCCTAACCGTAACCCTAACCCTATCTTTAACCCTAACCCCTACCCTATCCCTAACCCTATCTCTAACCCTATCCCTAACCTTACCCCTAACCGCAACCCTATCCCTAACCACTATCCCTAAACCTATCTCTAACCCTAACCCCAATCCTATCCGTAACCATTATCTCTAACCCTACCTCTAACCCTAACCCCAACCCTATCCCTAACCACTATCCCTAAACCTATCTCTAACCCTAACCCAATCCTATCCCTAACAATTATCTCTAACCCTACCTCTAACGCTAACCTCAACCCTATCCCTAACCATTATCTCTAACCCTATCTCTAACCCTTCCCCTTTCTCTAATCTTAACCCAATCCCTAACAATTATCCCTAACTCCAACCATCATCCCTAACGCTATCCCTAACCATTGTTTCTAATCCTATCTCTTACAAAACCCTATCTCTAACCCTAACCCTATGCCTTACCCCAACCCTATCCCTAACCATTATCCCTAACCCCAACCACTATCCCTAAACCTATCTTTAACCCTAACCCTAATACTATCCCTAACCATTATCTCTAACCTTACCTCTAACCCTAACCCCAAACCTATCCCTAACCCTATCTATACCCTATCCCTAACCCTATTCCTAACCATTGCCCCTAACGGTATTCATAATCCTATCTCTAACCCTATCTCTAACCATTATCTCTAACCCTATCTCTTACCCTAACCCTATCCCTAACCCCAACCCTACCCCTAACCATTATCACTAACACTATCACTAACCATATCTCTAACCTTATCCCTAACCCTACCCCTAACCCTACCCCCAACCCTGTCCCTAACCATTATCTCTGA